GATTACATCTTCGTTTGAGTTGTACACAGGTTTAGCTCAAATATCCACACACAAAAACTGAAAAGCAATTCAGGTCACACAATAAGTCAGACAGTTTCATGTAAAATGTTTATTTACTAAATCAAGATTTTTTTTGTTCTGTTTTTACATAGATAGACTGATGTGTGTACACAGTACAGATACAGAGACATTCAATAAATACAACTCTCCCTGCTCCTCAAGGAAGGCTGCAGGGTTTGTGAGAACTAAACAAATTTCATTTACATTTACAGCAATATTCTCCAAAGAGAACATCTATGGTAACAGTCTCATAAAGGCCACATTGTGAGAGTTAAAAAACTAATAAATGCATTCATCTAAAATATAATTTGGTCCTGTTTTTTTTTTGAACAAAAAATATAGAATTTGTGTCAGAAATCTAGAAAAAATATTATCAGCAGCAGTTCTGGAAAGCTGCAGTTTCACAAGAGGATGATAGAAAAGAGTCAAATCTGAGTAGGAAATAAAATACTTCAAGTGATAATGAAGACGTGGTCTTGAGGCATTGACACTCTTTTAAGTACTTTTTGTGTTGCGTTTTCTTCCTGCGTCACAGTTTGGGTTATTTCCTTCAGGTCCGGACTCATTAAAAATGTTCATTTCACAAACTGACACGGAGCTCAGTGGGTTTCCTTTCTGAGTCCGAGGCAAACTTATTTTTGAACTTTTGTGGAACAAGGACTGAGAATCCCCAAGTGATGGATGCGCGCACACCACATCACCCATAACCGCTCTTAGAATTTAAAGAAAAAATATATTTTTATTACAAAATCTTCACAGAGTTGTAGCCATCACCCTCCACTCACCATAAATACTAAGACAAATAGTACATCCCATAGGTGACGGGTCCACTGAAGAGTCCCGGGACCGGCAGAGTGGGCCTCGGAAAGGTATTTGACGCGCCCCAAGACGGAGAGCTCATGTGCGCTCCGAGGGGGAAAGGCAGCGCGAAGGCGGGCAGGACGGGCTTGGAGGCCAGCTTAAACTTTTCCAGCTCGGCCTCCTGCAGTCTCTTGGCTTTGGCTCTCCTGTTCTGGAACCAGATCTTGACCTGGGTCTCCGTCAGGTTTAGGGAGTTGGAGAACTCGGCTCTCTCGGCGATGGAGAGGTACTGCTTCTGGCGGAACTTGCGCTCCAGGGCCAGCAGCTGGGAGGTAGTGAAGGGTGTGCGAGGTTTCCTGTTGTTTTTGTGTTTCCTTAAAGTACACGGAGTGGGACTGGAGCTCCCTGTAATGCATTAGAAAAGTAGAATAGATACATAAATAAATAAATAAATAAATAAATAAATAAATAAATAAATAAATAAATAAATAAATAAATAAATAAATAAATAAATAAATAAATAAACGCGTGCGTTTTTGCAATAGACGCAAAAACGCGCAAGAAAGTGCGCAACAATCAGATTAATCCTGAGTTCAGTTCTGCACGTTGTCACCTTTACATTTGGAAGAAGTGCAAAAAATAAATACATCAGTAAGGAATATAAACCTGGGCACATTACTATGTTTGTTGGATAGATGGATAGAACACAAACTGAGATACTTTTACGCACAGCCACAAAACATAAAAAAAATTAGAATTTGTTGCTAAATAAGAAACTTTTCGTGTACTGATGATAGAAAATGATGAATAAATGCGCAGATTCTTTTTTTCTTTTTGGTCTGTTAAGAGCGGAGGGGCGGACTTACGAGGAGGTGAAGAAAAGGAGGAAGCCTGGAACCAAGTGCTCTGCTCTTTCTCACAAAACTGCGGACTGTCCTCGCAGGAACCTCTGGAAACTCCCTGGGAACCCTCCGCGGAAACTCTCCTCTCCGCGTAAAAAGTCCTTGGAGAGAAGCGCGCGCCCTGCGCGGCGGCCGGCTTCGGCAGCAGCGCGGCCGAATCACAGGCAGAGCCAGAAGTCCGACAGGTGTTCTTCTTGGAAATCAGCGACTCGACGCTGAACGGGAGGCTGCTCCGCTGCAGCTTGGGTCCCTTCTCCGTCGTCATGTCTTTGGGCTGCGGCGGCTCCTCGCCCTCCGTGTCCGTCTCCTCCTTCGGATGGCGCTGGTTGGCGTCTCGGGGCTGTGACCCCTGCGCGGGATTCATCCTGGTACAGGGGCGGATGGGGCCACGCACCTCCGTGGGGCCCGCTCAGACGGCTCGTATACAGTCTCCAACGTGCTTCTTTGCGCAGTCAACAGAGCTCTGCGGCGTTTTTTTTACGCGCATGGACTGGGGTCTGGTTTAAAAAGGACAGGGGCTGCTCCTTTCCCGGCTCCCGCCAATCAGCTCGTCAAGTTGTTTCTGTGACGTGCCCGGGTGGAGTTTTGATTGGCTCTCTGCCTCTTGAGAGGAGATCAAGAGGCCTGTGAAGAGGCTCGTTAATCATACAGACCCCATGCAGAGCGGGGTTATTGATGGCTCTCACAAAGTAGCTTTGACCAATTTTAGCGCAATTAAGCAGCGGGGGGTTTTTTTTTTTTTTTTTTTTTTTTGCTACATCTATTAGCAGGGCACTTCCACTGGTTCTGGCAAGTTCTCCAGTTATTCCCACTGTATAAGGACACGCACCCCTTTTTTATTGTGTGTTTCTTTAAATGACAGTTGCAATAAATAAATTCTAAAATCAAATAAATAACAGGGAACCATAAACGTTATGCCATTTGTGGGAAATGAAATGTTAAAAATGAAAGTCACATTGGGCTGGAAAGCATCCGGGACAGAAACTGATTAGGACTGTTGGTCACACAGCATTGCAGCAATTTAAGGCCTGTCAGGAGCTCCTCTTCCTCACAATAGCCTCAGTTGAGAAGCAACAGGCGTTTATTTTTTTTTCTTCTTCTTCTTCTTTTTCTCCAGGTCATACTTATTTAATAAGCCAGACAAGTTGTGTTTTGCAAGGCGCCAGGCTCGGCGGGATGAAAAAGGAAGATACCTCCGGGGAGAAAAAAAGGCCACTTAACCAATTGTCCTCTGAATATTTCATACTCCACTGCCCGGAGCTGGGAGCAGGACAGCCCTGACCGTCAGCTGTTCACTTTATGCAGGTATGTTCTGCTCTGTTGCCTGGTTGTTCAAATCAACAGCAGAAAGATAAAAGTTTGTGTGTTGCCATGCTCTAACATAAGATGCTCAAATCATTATAGTTTCTTCATGGTTTAGCTTTTAAAAGTCACTCAAATCCTCAATTAAAATCTCAGGTAAAACTTGGGTTCTGTGGAATGGAGCTATGAACTATAAATATCTTACCTGCTGTAGATAAAGCTTATTTAATTTGAATCACAAAACAGCAGGACCGAACCGGACCAAATATAGGCCTACTGCTATAATTTTAAAATGTTTGCATTACATTCATTTTTTTTCAATTTGTTATTCTAACACAGGAGTTCTCAAACCTTTTGGGTCTGGGGACCCCTTACAAGGGCGAAAAAAATTCCGGGGACCCCCTCATAAACCCCGTGCTGTTTTAAAAGATAATTTATTGTCATTTCAACCCCTAAATGCCATAGGAATATAAATTTTAATTTATTTTTTTTACGTTTGTTTTATCAGTTCATTGTTCTCCACGCATTTTTAAAAATAAAAATCAAATTAACATTTTAGTAAAAAAAAATTTTTGAGGACCCCCCAAGTTACCTCTCGCGGACCCCTGGTGGTCCAGGGACCCCAGTTTGAGAACCTCTGTTCTAACAGAAACGTTTACTTTTGCTGGAAGTGCCAAAATTGGCTGCTGTGTTTGCTCTTGCAAAAAGAACAAGAAACAAAGAGAAAAGAAGAAAAAAAAACAATCTTTATGCAAATAATTTTAATAGATCGTTTTGATTTGTTTTAAATTTGTTTTAACAATGGTGTGTGTGTTGGGGGGATGATCAGTGAGCATGGATTTGAAGAGTGAATTGCTCACAAAAATACCACATTATCAAATATATGCACGTGCGTACGCATGAGAAAACAGCTGTAAAAATGTGATTATGGCAAATGCTATTCTGCTCTCTATTATGTGGGTCTTAATGAAACATTTTGCCCACAGATGTTTTATAACAATACAATTGTATATGTCAAAGTAATACTCAAATATTATCAGAATTAAAAATTTCTCACACAAATAAAATTGTTTTGATCATTTTTCAATTATTTTGGACATGCATGTCCTCTGTACCACTCAGGAGGTGCTGCAGCATCCGACACATCCCTATGAACAAGCTCCAATTATACATGTATATAGAAAAATGTATGGTCTATGAGCTCATGACTGAAGATTTATTTCAGTTGGTTGAACATATGAGGTTTTACTTCAGAAGGTGTTTAAGATACTTTAGAGCAGAGGTGCCCAAAGTGTGGACCACGGGCCAAAATTGGCCCACCGAGCCATTTGATTTGGCCCACCAGCAAGTGTCCTGGTTACTAGATTGTAATTATGTTAAGATTAAATATAAAGTACAAGTAATTACAAGAGATATTTAGATTAGATTTAAGCCCATATATACAGTAGATTTGCACACCTTATAAGACCACATATACTCAGATTTTAAATTACGAAAAGTCCCATGAGCCTTTGCTGCCTGAGCATATGTTGAATTTTCTCCATGTCCATGGGCTGAAAAAAAAAGTAAAGAATGTGGGCAACCCCCCTGGCTGCTAGCTTAATCATAAAAAATAAAACAACTTTACTTAAGTATTCAGCATTTCTTACATATATTATTGCATTTGGCCCTTAGATTGATTTTAATTTTGGCCCGCTCAGGGAAAATGTTTGGGCACCCCTGCTTTAGAGATACACTAAAAAACAGTTATGTTGAATTTAAAAGGAAAAAAAATTGTATAGGTCCTCTGGACGGGTTCTTCTTTAATGAAATGTTTCGTCTCTCTTCCAACAGACTTCTTCAGTCTGAGAGTTTCAAGCAAAATTCAGACTTTTAAGTCCTGCCTCCAGGTGACTCATACTCACATCACATAGCCATGGTTCACAGGTGACTGATACTCACATCACATGGCTATCGTTCACAGGTGACTCATACTCACCTCACTTTTGATTTTTTACCTGGATTACTGAGATGCATCAGGATATGTTGAATTTACTTAAACAAATTATGTCAGCTGGTTTTACTCAAATGAATTGAGTAAATGTACCACATTTACTTCACATGTACTTTTAAAATAAATGGAAAAATTGCTTTACATTTCCTCAGTTCAGTTAAATGGAATTAGTTGACGTAATTTGTTTATGTAAATCCAACACAACTGTTTTTTTGAGTGTACTTTACCTTAAAAACAGGAAGCAGTTTGCTCAGATGCTCAGTTGATCGTCTAAATTCTTCTCTTTCAGCACATCAGCTGATGTCCCATTAAATGTGTCAGCAGCACTTTGTGGCCGTCAAACCCAACACAAAACCCTGCTGAGATCTCTGCAGCCATCAGACCTATCAAATTCACAGGAAGTGGTGAGAAGACAAACTTTCCTCATGAGCTTTTAACATGAACTGCAGCCCTTAGACTCCTGATCCTCTTCAACAGCTTTTATTTGATCATTTTGTGATTAATCTCTCAACCCAACGGAACAACAAATGATCTATGTGACCCATATCGAAACAAGGATTAAGTCTAAAAGTGGGATGTGGAGAAATAGGCAGACACAGTGTTTTGATTCAAACGTTTGCAAAAATTGCATTTTGTCTAAATGTAATGAATAAATGCCATATCATTTGAATGACCTGCCTGCACTTTCATGAGCAGTAGCAACAAAAAAAAACTGCTTTTGAGAAAAAAAATGCTTCAAATCGGTCACATTTTCCTGTGAGCTAGCAAAAGCTTTTGTTTCTTTTCAGCTGCGAAATCTCAATATTTAAATATAATGACTTCAAACATTCCTCATTAAAATTACATTACATAAAATTAAGATTCAGAGCAAATATTAATGCATTATTGTAAACAACAGTACAAGTGAAGTCACATCTCTGGATCCGCTGTCAGAATAATCCAGGTGTCAAAATGTAGCTTTTAAAACCAAGAATCTGAAAATGTGATTAGGTCATTTTGATCAAATTTGACTTAATCCTCATTTTTACCATGACGGGTCACATATAAGGCATGCCATGTTCAAAAATGACCAATAATTGCTTTATAAGTGTGTCTCACATTTGACTTATCATCTGACTGTCATGCGATTACAGATTCTGCTGCTGTTTCTCCCAAAACGCACTGGAGAACAAACAATTCTTTGACTGACAAAACTTATTCATGGAGGTCACTGACGCTGACCTCCTGAAAGCCCTCAGGTGCAAAGAGCAATTTTCTCTTCATCGTATCGAAGACGCAACTTTTTAGGTTGATGGTTCGGGCAGAGTAAATCCTCATGTTGCGTCTGCCCCTTCATTTCCTATCAGACAAAACCGGCCTCCTGTCTCCTCTCATGCTGCAGAGAGCCTTTCGTCACCCAGCTGGTTTGGGTTTAAATACCAACAAATGCGTCTCAAGTCCACAAACCAGCATCTAAGAGGGTGGATGAGAGTCGGGCCATGAAGTTCACAGAGATTCATCCGATACGGTTACACCCAGAGACAAATCTACACAAGAAGTGCCATTACCTCTCGTCTCCTGGTGTTTAGCCATGTCTATTTAGCTTTGAGCCCCCCCTCCCCCTCCCCCCACCAGCCCTCCTCTCTTCTCCCCTTCCCCAAAAGGCATTTTTGTAACAGCGTGCAGGCAAGTGAGCTATGTCAGAAGGCGTTAGCGAGCCTGAAAGCAGATCTGCTCTTCAAGGCCGATGCGAACGCGATGGGAAGCACTTTCCCCTCAGCTGGCACCAGAAAGGGAACCTTTTTCACGTGCGTGAGCGAGGGGCCTTTTCACGGACAAACAAGCTCTGATGAAACCGTTTCTCTGCTCTACAAAGAGCAGGGGCCAAGTGGTGGCGTGGGGTGAGAAAACAGTTTTAGGCTGGAAGCTTTTCACGTGATTCTGGTGTCATATTATTTTCTTGTTCAGTGACCTACCCCCCGGAAAAAATAACAAATCTGTCCTGATCGAAACCATCTGAATTAAATCTTTAGTGCTCATTAAAGGAATGCTTATCGCCCACCACTTTTTATGCCAGAATTTTAGACTAAAATGATTTATTTTGAGGAGTTTAAA